GAACCACCACAAGGGAAGCTGAAGATGGACTCCTGGGAGCAGACAGAGGCGACGGGAGGTAGGGAGCTGGCCATGACGGCCTTGTGGGCCTTGCTATGCACGCGAGATGATATTACGTACACCTTATAGGAGCCTTTATATGGAGCACGACGGAACAGAATCAACAGCAATGATAACAATGATTATCATATAGCTATACTAATGATTACAAGTATCATCCTGTTTTGTATAACCAAGTGCTCACTACGTGCCAGGTATTTCTAAGGGCTTTACCTGAGTTAATGTGTTTGCTCTTAAATTTCACCCTTGACGCTGTGACCGATGAGTGTGACTCTTAGCCCCACTGTACCGACCAGGACGCAAAGGCACAGGAGCATAGCGAGTGGCCGGTTTGGACCCAGGCTGCCTGACTGCGGGGTACACGCTTGCCACTGCTTTTTGCCTACTGAAGAAAAGCGTCCGCAGGGAGCCGAGGCCGGTGGACGCGGTAGTCATCCGTCATTCGCACCCGCCGTCTGGCCTCGCTTCTGAGATTTGGTGTTTACGTCGTGCTGTGGTGTCGGGCCGTTTGTGAGGAGGAGTGAATGAGCATTTCAAGGGTTCTGAGATCTCGGGGTGAAAACTTTCTGTCTCTTAAGAGCCAGGTTTCGAATAGTTCACAGTCTTTCCACCGTCCATGTTGCCTGGTTAACGTCTGTCCAAATGTCACTTCTTACTCCCCAAAGGCTGCTTGCTGACAGCGGGAATGCTCTGAGCTGCCTGTTCTCTGGGCACTAGGTTGGCCTGGGGCTCTGGTGGACGGAGGGTGGGGCAGGCGCCAGGCCTGGTCCCGGGGTGGTCTCTGTCGTGGAATGTAGCAGCCACCGCCCCCAGTCTCCTTCTGTCCCGGGGAGGCTAATATAACTGATCTGTCCTACAGAGCTGGCAAGGAGTCTGGTGGTCTATAGCTATTACTGCCTTTAATCTCTGCAACAGGCAGGAGGTCTTAACATCCCGAGTTTTCACATGAGGAAACTGAGGCTTATGGAGGTGAAGACTCTTGCCCAAGATCATACAGCCAGTAAATGGCAGAGCTGGAATCTGAACCCAGTCCACCTGGCTGCAGAACCCTCTCCCTGCTCCCACACTACTCCAATCTTGTCTGTATTATCATCCCTGCTTTATAAATGAGAGACACAGAGAGGTGGTGTCACCCACCCGAGGTCACACAGCAAGTACGTGGCAGCAGTGGGGCTGTCGCCCAAGCCGGTCCAACTCCAAAGGTCCAGGACCTTTCATCCGGGCTCAGCCTGGACTCAGGGCACAGGCTCTGGAATTGGGGAATCTTTTATTCTCCATTCCTCGGTCCCTAATCCTGTCTGCCCACCCCTAGCTTTGTGGGTCTAGAGATGGGGAAACAAAGAGGGTTGTTCTGCCTGCTCTGCCCATTCATCCAGTAGTGGGGGGCCCTGACTCTGCAGAGCTGGAGCGAACACCGAATCAAAAATCAGAATTCTGGGTCAAGTCCTTGCGTCACCCTCTTGACCTTGGTCAAGTCACTCGTTTGCGGGGTTATGAGCGCCCTGTTGGCATCTCAGGGGAGCCAGGAGGAGGATGAAGCAATGTGAAGGTCCAGAAAGGGCTTCGAAACCAGCCCGGGGTGTATGACAGGGGGCAGTGTGAGCATTATTACCATCCTGCTGTTGCCCTCCTTCCCTGTGGCCTCTACCAGCACTGGGCACCGTGCAGGCCTCTCTCCAGACCCAGTCAGTGGGTGGCTGGTCCGGCCCGTTGGACCACATTTCTCACAGGTTTCCCGCCCTCCAGCCCTCTCTGAGACTTCTGCCTCCCACCCCATTCCCTAAGGGGGAGAAACCAGAGAGGGTAACCCAGCTGTCTTTGTGACAAAAACCAAAAGTAAATAAAGGAATATTTACTGAGTACCTGTAACTTGCCAGTCCCTTGAGGTATTTAATCCTTGAGGTATTTAACCCTGAGAATATTTCCCTGTTTAGTCTGATGAAAGCCAGGCTCAAAGGGGCCCACTGCTTAAGGGCATGGAGCTGGAAAGATGGGGGCCAGGATTCCAGCTCGGGGCTGTCTCACTTACTGGGGAACCAGGCTCTTTACTCCCTCCCTGCACACCCTGCTGACCTGATGGCTTCAGATGGCCCAAGGCTGCGGCTGTCTGTCTGTACAGGAGGCAGAAACTAGGGTTAACAAGTTGGGCTGGGAGCCCTGCCTATTCCTCCAGGTTGCCAAGGATATTCAATTACCAGAAGAAATGGAGACTCTGGGAACAGCTCTGCCCCCCGGACCCTTCATCACAGCCGCATCTCAGCCTCTGAGCACCAGGTGGGCCTGAAGGCGGTCAGAGGCCTTCGTCTGGGCCTGCGCGGGGCCCTGACTGCCGTGGGGGCCTTTGATGAGGGTGGGAAAGGACGCAGCACTTGGAGTCAGAGATGCTGCATCTGGGGGGCTCCATCAAAAACCAGCCTATGATTCCGCACAGGTCTCATCACCTCTCTGACCACAGCCTCACCTCACTGCAGTGTGGGAGGGAGAAATGAGTCACGGCGTGGAAGGCTTCTCATTTGTGGGGTGATGAGTGCTCTGTTGGCATCTCAGGGGAGCTAGGAGGAGGATCAAGCAACGTGAAGGCCCAGAGAGGGCTTCGAAACCAGCTCGAAATAGAAGGCTCCGGCTAGGGCCTGCTGCATAAATTGCAGGACCCAGCGCAAACATGAAAATGTGGGTTCCCTTGTTGAGATCATTAAGAATTTCGAGGCGAAGGTAGCCAAGTACGACACCGTGCGCTGGGCCTTTGGAAGTGCCGGGCCAATGCATGCACAGGTGGCCTGAAGCCAGCCCTGGCGCTGGGGTCTGGAGCAGCGGGGCGTGTCCTTCTCTGGCGTCAGCGGCCCGCCCCCTGCCCGCCCCCGCCCCGCGCGGTTTGAGACCCGAGGGTCCCGCGGCGCATTCGGCGGGGCGCCTGCGCCATCTAGCGGCACCACGGCGAGCAGCACTCCCCGCTCACACCCGGCCGGCTGCTCCCTCAGCACCTCATCACCCCGCGTGGGGGTGGTTAAGAGGCACGCCTGCCGCCTTCGTCGCCCATCGCTCACGACGTCCTCCACCGTGTCCTCCAGGATCTCTTACATGAGTCCTACCCTTTCAATAGTTCCTTGGTCCACTGACCCCTCTATTTTCGGCGAGGTTCATTGAGGTCCCCGCCATCCTTCCCGGAGCTATTCCCTTTTCGGGACTCTGGAGGCACCCTCCCTCCAGCTCCATTTTCCTTCACCACCTCCTCGGAGCCCTTCTGCGGCTCTCTGCCACCTGCAGGGAAAGCCCTTTGCCTTAGCCTGGCACCCAAGGCTGTCCCGCCCACAGCCCCAGCCGCCTCTTCACCTTTCCGCTGTGGCCTGACGGTTATCCTTCAAACACACGTCTCACCCTGACACACCCCCCTCCCCCACCTAGGGTCCCCTCTTCTTTCCCGTTTGGCCTCTCCAGTCCCTACCTCTGATGGGAATCCTCAAAGATGCCATCCTTGGTGTGAACAGCGGTACAGAGTCGGAGACAAAAGTCTGTTGGGGTCCGAGGTGGCCAGGTCCGGGTGCGCACAGGATGGTCTGTGGGATCAGACCTGCTGGCCTGAAACTTGCCTCTGCCACTCCTGCATCAGCTTCCTTGTCAATAAAGTAGACCCAACTTTCCTTGTCAAAATCGCAGACCCTTTTTTAACAGCCAGGGGATAGCTCAGGTTGTGTGCTTCATTCCTAGCGCTGGGTGTGGTGAGTTCCCCATCTTGGCTCTGGACTCACATCGCAATCATCTGGGCAGCTTCTAGAGCATCCTGGTGCCGGGGCTACACCCTCAGAGGTTCTACTTCAATTGGTCTGGGGTGGGCCCCAGGCGTTGGCACTTTTCAAGCCCTCAGGTGATTGCGATGTGCAGCCAGGGAGAAAACCCACGGCCTAGATGTTTTACAGCCTCCTGATGCAGGTTCAGAGGCACGTGGGAAGGGTCCCAAGTGTAGATCCTCTGCTTGGGCCTAAGTGTATGCCTTGCTGGGGGCCAACCGGATGCCCTGCAGCCGTAGATGACCACATGGGAAGCCCAAATAGAGAAGCAGGGCTGGCCCCCTTCAGTTTCCCGCCCTGAGAAGCAGCGGTCAACGGCAAGCAGACTGGGAGTATTACACGCATGCGCGATATGTGGCCGCCGTCTCTCGCTAGTGATCCCTGGGTAGGTGAGGCTTTTCCCTTCTCTGCGTGTTTTCTCACCTGCTGTTTGGATTCAAAGCATCTCTGGACTGACTACAGGTGAATGAGATTTGTGGGAGGTACCTTCAGTTCCTCGGGGCGAGGCAGACTTCCCTAGGAAGGTTCTAGGATAGAGTGGAAAGAGTTTAATCTATAGAGATGTGCTACCTCAGCCAGGTCTCCTCAGAGCTTCAGTGTCCTCACCAGTAAAACCAGGACTCTACCTTCTAGAATGTTCTACTATGAGCATGAAATAAGTAAATGTCTACAAAGCCCCTAGTGCAACACCGAGCACGTAGTAGTTCAGTAAATTGCTTTCCTTTCAAGAATGCCACTCTTAGCTCGTAGTCTTTTTAATGTGACATCAAATAAGGACAACAAGACTCATCCTGTCCAACATAAGTAGTAAGTTGCTGCTTATAGGCCGAAGCCCCTCGATCAACTCCTGGACCCCACGTCCCTCAGCAGGACGTTGGCTACCTCTTCATCTCTGTGTCCCAGCCACACCGCATGAGGCCCCAGACTTTCTACACGACAGGGTCTTGGGAATGACAATATGGTCGGAAGGGAGGTGTTGTGAAGAGTTTTGCATGCGGTCACAGTATTTGCTTTTGAGCTGGATGTTTGCTTGGGGGGCTGGGGAGGATCACGTGGTGCCTGGCACAAAGGCAGTACCGATAACTGGATGCCAAGTGAATGGACTAGCCTTCCCTGTTCACGACGTGCCTGGAGTCATGGAAGAAGTGAAGGTTAAGAGTGTAAGAAATAGTTCTGTTTATTGACTAGAAGATGGTATAAAATTACAGCAACCTGCAGGCATTCTAGGCTTTCGGGAAGGGACATGCAGTGCTGAGCTATAGCAGGAGATGGAGTGGAGGCGTGGGCCACCGGGTATCGGCTCCCTTCCTGGGCAGTCGAGGGCCTTGCACCTCCAGCACAGATGCTGGTGTGAGAGAGAATCATCGGTCCTTGCCTCTGGGGACAAAGGCCGTGGGCAGTTTGGGTCACCAGATGATGCCATGCGTGATACTTCAGTCCTATCCTACCTATGTTTGGTGCTGGCTCCCCCAATCGAGTCATGGCAGTTCATGTTGCTCATTCTTCCAACCAAAGGAAGGGAAACAGGCACGTTGGTTTGGGAGGCCGTCCGAGGATGGTGTGCATTTGGCTCAGGTCATCTTGCTCCCAGATACCTCAAGGTCTGCTGGACCTGGAAGCACTGGGCTGGGGGCAAGCAGAAAAGTGGGCATGACGATTTAAGCTCAAGCAGAGGGACCTTCCATGGGGCTGCAGTGTGAGGAGATGAGCATGCGGAATTCCAATTTCATCTTGTCTCTCTCAAGAAGAGGGAGGAGGAAGAGTTGGCAATCAGAGGCTGAGCCACGTGACGCTGGGTTCCACAGAAAGTCTTCGGCAGAGAATTCTCCCAAAGCGTAAGAGGTGTTTCTGTCCCGAGAGTCGGCGTGTAAGATCAGAACGAGGGCAGATCAGGGTGTCAAGGCTCGTACGACGTCTTCGAGAGCCGGATGGCTGTGTCCGCAGTTACATGACATTTTGGAACAGCTGGAGAGACCTCATGATATTGTCATCCTAGGAAGGGGGGGAGGGAGAGAGGGAGAGGTGAGAATTCTCTGAGGCTCCTCCGATGAGCAAACTTCCAGGAGAAAGGACTCTGCAGGGGTGTGAGGAACCAGAGAGCAAGCGGTAGGGACCTAGAAACCGACCGACATGAGGCAAGAAGCACCTTGGGAAATCTGGAAGGAGTGAATGATCTAGTGAAACGGTGACTATTGCTTCTTTTAAGCAGCTCTGGGCGACTGCATTTTATCAAATGATTTTTCTACATCCGTTGAGATGATCATATATATATTTTTCTTTTTTATTCTATTGTCATTAATTACATTGATTAATTCTTGAATATTAAACCGAGCTAGCATTCCTTTAATAAACCCCATTTCTTCATGATGTATTATGCTTTGTATATATGGCCGGATTTGATATTTTTCTGCCTCTATGTCCAGAAGGGATATTATTAGCCTGAAATTTTTTAATCTCGTAATGGCTTTGTCAAGTTTCCAGATTAGAGTTATTATAATCTCATAAATCCAGTTGAAACATTTTCCTTCTTTCTCTATTCTCTGAGTTTATCTAAGATGAGTAACGTTTCTTCCTTAAATGGAAGAATTTACCAGTGAAGGCATCTGAGCCTGCCATTTTCTCTGTGGGAAAGTTTTAAATCACAGATTCGATTTTTTTCTTTAATAGATATAGGACTATTCAGAGTTTCAATTTCTTTTTTTGTTGTTAGTGTTGATAAGTTGTATTTCACGGGTCAGAGAAGATAATATTTTGAATTGACATATAATGATAATACGACATCGAATTTTTGAGGATCTGAAGTAATACTCAGCTAAAGCGGTAGAGGAAAACTTATTTCTTTAAAACCTAGAGAATTGAGTTGAAATAAAAAAAAACAAACAAAGGGAAGGAAATGATTTAGAGCCTAAATTAATGAAACGGAAAGCAAACCTACAATAAGAATACCAACGAGGACGAAAATTGATTCTGGGTATATGAAATCTTTAATAGTTTCTAGAACAGTGACGTATTATTGCCTGGGCATTAAGCATATATATCGGTTCTAGAGTCAGGCTGCGTAGACTCCTCCTGGCTCTGACACTGACCAGCTGAGTGGCCTTAGGCAAGTTACTTAATCTCTTCGTGCCTTGGTTTCATCGTGTGTAAAATGGCATTGATCATAGTGTCTATTTATAGAGTAGGTTTTGAAAACAAGTGAGTTAATGAATGAATAGCTATAGAAGTCGCTAATGTGAGACACTGATTAAAACACTGTTAAGCAAAGTAAAAAAAAAAAAAAGCCTACTACAGCATGGTATTTAAGATTAGAAGGATGGAGTTCGTCTTCCATCTCTGTCACTTATTGTGCCTTAGCTACATCTCTTCACCTTGCGGGGCCTCCATTTTTCTCTTCTTTAGAATGAGTATGATGAATAGACTGCTGCTCAGCCAGTTCGTTATGATTAAAATGTTGAAATATCTCTAACCTGTTGGTGAATAGCTGCTGACCTTAGCCTCCTTCCCCCTCTGCCCACCATCCTCCCAGCATCTTCCCCTCTGGCTACCTGGTAACCAGCTCAGGAACCCTGGACCACCCAGGGATCCATTCACTAACAGGTTAGTAAGCCGTTTAGCAGAAGTCCGCTAGGGCACTGCTCTAGGGCATTGGGTCAAGGTCGTTTCAGAGTGGTCAATTCTCAGTCCATTCTAGTTATTAAATAGTTGGACCATCACCCTGGATATAGCACCTCTCCCTCTCAGGCTTGTTATGAGGTTCATGTAATGTACCTGAAACTCGGCAGGTGCTCAGCATGCGTTAATAAATTCTCTTCTGCTTTCTGGTGTTTGTGGTTCTGTTTGGGCAGAGCTCAGACTAACTGTGTACCTTTCTGAAATAAGGTAGGGGCATAAATGCATTTTTCTAAACTAGATGGAAGCAGTTCTTTTTAGTTTAGTCTCTGGTGGACTCTGGGGCCGGTCTGTCCTTTATAATGAAGCTGTGGTCCAAAGACCGGCAGCATCAGCATCACCAGGGACAGCGTCAGGAAAGAAGCCGGTCCAGCCCCATCCGGAGACCTACCGGGTGAGAATCTGCATCTTCAGGAGAGCTTCAGGGAGGTTGGTTTGCCCACGAAAGGTTTAGAAGCATCAATCCAGGTCCAGGGCTTTTGTGTTAAAAATGAAGATTTCTGGAATCCCCACCCCAGATCTGGAGTCTCTGGGATTGAAGCCTAGAAAATGTACATTTTCTAAACCAATCCAGGCACTTCTTTTGCACACTGTGCTTTGAGAATCACAGCTTTAGATTTTTTTTTTTCCAGCTACTCCTTCATCATCTGGGGAGTGGGGTCAGCAAGCCAGAGGCAGGTTGAAAAATGACAGTGTAGCCAACTTGGGAAGTCTGTAGTTTCACAGAGACCCCTCTGGGCTTCTTAGGTTGTCTGACTCAGCCTGTGCTTGGCCAAGACCAACCACTGGTCATTGTAGGGAGTGGAGGCTGTTGCTGGTATTGGTGTTGGTGGTGGCTCTGACCTAGAGTGGTGTCAACAAGCCCCATATTTCCTTTCCTAGATTTACAGATACTGTGCCCTGAGATCTCTCCTTACCTCCTGACAGGATTCAAGAAATTCATCTAAAGTCACAATCCCATCTTTATTTTTGTCCATTTTCTGAAAGACACAAAAGGAAGCATTTTAAATAACCTGGTAATCTGCATCCCAAAACTTACTTTTGACTAACCAAAGGTGCCCAGAGAATTCACTGGCCGGACACCTCTACCCAGGCCCTGGTTACAGCACATGACCGTCCTTAAAATTAGAAGGTACGCTGACAGCCTGTCATGTCTTCTCCACTCTTTTCTAGCCTGTCCATCTGGCAGAAGGAACACCGGACAGGAGAGTTTCTACTTCCATCTCTGTCGCTTACTGTGTGACCTCGAGTGAGTGTTTAAGCCTCTGTGAGCCTGTTTTTCTCATCTGCAAAGTGAGAGGATTAGACTAGAATGAACTCTGGCTTTCTTTGGTACACTGCTGCTGGGTTCATTTTTTACTAAATGATCACCGTGATCTTCTACTCTTCTATTCATGGGTCAAACCGGCCACCCACTCTACCAGAGCAAGGCTAAACTCTCCAGCTTAAAGATCTCACAGTCCATCCTGCCACGGTTTCCAACCTTATTTCCCCTTACTCCCCAGACACGAATGCTCACCACCTACACACGTGCGCTCAATGATGTCTTCTGTGTTTCCTCAGATACCCCACGAATTTTTATGGAACTTAGAATCTGTGTTATATCACGTTTGCGTTCCTGTTCTCTTCGGTAGTATATACCGGTCTGCTTAATGAGATCGTCTGTTCCTGGAGAACAATATATTTGCGATTCTTTTCTCTTTCGTACAGTGAATAGTACAGTGGTGTGGACACAAACCACTGTTCGGACGCCGTGAGTGGACTGATCTACGTTGAACTTACAGCTCATGTCAGGGTGCTACACCTACCTGGAAGAAGACGTCCACATGCTGTCTCGGAGTGTCTTCTTTGAGCACGGGATATGTGTATTTCCCCATCATGTCGTAGATGGCTTTGACAATGTCCATCATCTCCTGGAGAGGGCATGGAAGCACAGTGTGGGAACCATTGTGACTGAAATAGCCCCCTTATGAATGAAATTGACTCAAGGGACTTTCTTCAGCTGGTTGAGAGGGAGTTAGAAAACAAGCTGAACAGAGAGGGCGGTGGAAAATTCTCGTTGCCTTCAGAAGCTCTTGGGCAGGTTACCTCTCCCTGAGCATTATCCTCAGTGAGGGGATATGTGTGGGATTGGGGTGGACATGTTTGTGTACTGATTGCCCCACGCTCCACTTTTGGAAGACTCTCCCCACTCTACAATTCCTCTGAATGGTTGGGCCCAGGTGGCTGTTTCTATATCAGGTGACTTGTCTCTGTGACCACACTTTATTGAAACAAAAGCGGACATCTGAATAAAGCTGAGCTACTCAGTATAATATTATACAATCTACTATTTTATAAACAGATTTTTAAACTGTAATGTATCATATGAATTTTTCCATCTTATTACTCTTGCATGATTTTAAATGGCCACCTGTATTTCCATTGTTGTATTTACCAGAATTCATTGAACACATCTGCTATTAGTGGATATTAGGGTTTGCACATTTTGAGGATTGCTTACCATTTTATCTTCGGCATCTGGAACACCTAATAAGCCCTCAAATATCGAGCAAATACATTATGGAACGATTGAGAAATAAAAATTGGAAAGAACCTAGCAGGGTTGAGGTGCTATCGGAGGTCAGGAAGTAGGATATCACAGGATGCTATCGACAGATGCCTGGATGCAGTAGGTACCGGAGTGAGTTTTGAGATAGACCTGTGAGTATTTCACCGGAGAGACACCACGTGTCCTTTGAGGCTCTAAAAGTATCAAGCCATGAGGATTCAGAAATTATTCATGATGAGTTCTTGAGGGAGGGCTGCACCTGCCATCACCCCCCTCTGTGATTTTATTAGCAGGCAAAATAGGGTGCGGCCAACACGATCCAATTGTACTCTCTTCTTCATCAAAAAAATCTCCCTTTTCTCTTCCAGGTGATATCTGCAATTCGACTACCCCAACTTTTAGCTTTAACCTGTGGCTGTCAACCTGTTAAAATGCAAATTCCACCGGGAAGAGTAACTCTATGCTGAAATAAATCATTTATATCGTATTTAGAATGTGCACCGAATATGTGTGACCCAGCGGGAATGAATGAATCTGCTTAATCCTTTCTCCGTGCCTGGGCAAAGGGCAGGGCAGGGCCACGGGGAGGTCAAAGGTGGCCTTCCTCATTTTTCCAGGAACCAGCTCTGTTGGCCCCAAAGCTGCTCTCTCCTCATTCAGACAAGTTCATCCTTACGGCTGGGGCTCTATTTGATTAGATGCCGTCCTCGTAGCTCCCTCGAGCCCCTGGCCCCGGCTCACTTACCTCTTTGTTTATGTATCCATCTTTATTGATGTCATACAAATTAAATGTCCACCTTAGCTTCTCATGGACAGTTCCTCTCAGTAAAATCGACAAAGCGGTTACAAAGTCCTGAGAAGAGGAAGAGACGTGAGTGACATTAACCACCCGGCCGTCGCGTGGGGTAAAGCTCTGTCTTTGCGTCCGGCTCTGAGACTGCTTTTACAAAACGGTATCTCCCTTGTCCTCTGTGCCCTGAAGGATATGGCCAAGTTCAATGAGGGACCTCCCCCGCCCCCTTCCATTGCCTACCCTGCCCCACTGTTTGGGAAGGAGCCCGCTTGGGGAAGAATGGAGCTCTGTGCATGCTAACACCTCCAGACACAGGTCAACGCAGCCTTCTCTGGAGCCGCCTGATGCCGGGGCTGTGATTATCACATGACTGGCGGTACAGTCTAGCGGCTATGACCGTGGGCTCTAGACACATCCAACCTGAGTGCAAATCCCTCCTTTACCACTTACTAGCCGTCCGACCTTGGGAGAGCTGCTCAGTCTCCCTTTGCCTTACTGTCCCTCCTCTTCTGTAACTGGTAATAAACATTTGTGTCCTACCTCGTGGGGTTATTGTGAGGATTACGTGAACTAGTAAACGCAAAGCGTTGGTGCAGAGCCTGCCACACGGCCAGCTCCGTGTGTCCGTGAGGTAGGAGACTGTTCCCGTCAGTCCCTCGAGGCCCTGCGTTCCTGGAAAGTTGCTTTTCTCTATTCCCTAGGAAATGCTTACTAAAAAGATACAGGTTTCTTTGTCCTGACCGAGGGCATCTGATGACGCAACCCTTTCCCCAGCACCCCACGGTCTAGAGGGAGACGGAATGGGAGGTTGGGGAGTCCCCCAGACACGCGTACCTCAAACTTCACGGAGCCTGTCTGGGTGGTGTCGAAGGCGTGGAAGAGGTAGTGGGCGTAGGTGCTGGCATCTGCAAGGCAGAGAAGGAGAGGCCGGTGATGGGGGCGGGGCTGCTCGGAGGGGAGCGAGATCACTGAGGATCGGTAAGCAAGAGCAGAGGGTGACGCTGGGGCGAGAGAAAGGAGAAAACCACGGAGTGGGAAGGCCACTGGGTGAACGGGGACCCGTTGGGCTCTCCTGGGGTTTAGGTGAGAAGTTCCAGCAGAAGCCAAGGCAGGCCCTTGCCCCTCACCTAGTCACCCCCAGAGAAAGACCCCCCTTGCCTGCCTGTGTGTGTAACCCTTGATG